AGAACAGACCACTTGTTATATAAATTCTTATTATAATTCTTATTCTGTATAAACAGAAAGTATTAAAGAATTGCAAGAATTAGTGGTTCCGTTGTTTTCTCAAATCAAGAATAACAGTGCAATCGCTCCCAAATGGACTACAAATCCATTCACTACTGAATGCCTACAAAAGCAGTGCTTTGTTGTGCCGAATATGGATACCAGGAGTTTGGAGCTAAAGTTCCCGATCCCTGACATGAGAGCCCATTACAAGTATAGCTTGTTTCACATAATTTAAAACAAATAATAGACTAAACTTTTTTAATGAATAGATCAAAACCGGCTGATATTATATCGCATCTGATTGGACACGAAGGGCCGGGTAGTTTGCTATCGGCGCTAAAATTGCGAAACTGGTGCACGTGTTTAGGCGCCGATTCTACTACTTCAAGAGGTTTTGCATTCTTTACGATTACCGTCGATTTGACTGAACAGGGAATTGAGTGCATCGACGATATCATTGCATTAGTCTTTCAATACATTAATTTACTTAAAGTATGAATCAGTATATTGTATACAAGAATATTCTGTGAATTAGTCATAAATGAAAATTTTGTATTGATTTTGTTGTACAGAGAGAGGGTCCGAAGCAATGGATTTTCGATGAATTGAAACAAATGCGAGAAATTATGTTTAGTTTCAAAGAGAAAGAGCACTCAATGGGTCATGTCGTCAATACATCGGAAGTCCTTCACGTAATCATTGATTATTTCAAATAATTTATGTGAAATGTTTTAAACTTATTATTATAATTTTAATTAATTAATTATTTTTTAGGATATACCACTTAATGATTGTTTAAGTGTTGGTTATTTGTTTCACGAATTCAAACCCGATTTGATCACTGATATCGTCAATCTCTTGACACCGGATCGGATGCGAGTGATAGTTGTGGCGAAAAAGTTCGTCACAATTGCGGATCAGACAGAGAAGTGGTTCTCAACGAAGTATAAACAACAAGACATTCCTAAGGAAAAGATCCAGAAGTGGCTAAACATTGGATTCAATGACAAGTTAGCACTTCCGCCAAAGAATGACTTCATTCCCTATAATTTCAATCTTAAGCCAATCGATGATAACGTGAAACGAATGCCACAAATGATTAGAAACACAGAGTTTTCTCGTGTTTGGCATTTGCAGGACAATCAATACCGCACTCCAAAGGCTTACTATATATTCAAACTAACAAAGTATTAATCAAATATACTATACGTTTATCTAATATTAAACTTTTTTATTAATTTATTTTTCTGATATACTAGTCCTCACGTACACGACAGTCCACTCCATACAAACGCCACACAATTATTCATACAACTATTTGTCGACTCTATTAACGAATATTTATATTCCGCACAAATGGCTGGACTCGGGGTTAAATTTTCAATCAGATCCGCGGGACTTAAGGTTTTGTATATTTTGAGATTTTAAAAATTTACTTATTTTTAATTTCTATATTCTTATGATTAGCTATCATTTGGCGGATATAACGACAAACTAAACTCATTGATGACCACTGTTTTGGATAAACTCATTGATTTCAAAGTGGACCCAAAAAAGTTTGTTGTGTTTAAGGATATCTATGTTCGAGGTCTTAAGAGTTACCCGACACAGTCCATGTCCACATTACTCACATATTACACACAATTAATAACCATTGAAAGGTGTTGGACTTATGAGGAGCTATTACATGCAATGGATGAGCTGACAGTTGATAATTTGTCTGAACTAATAGTCCAACTCTTATCTCATTTCCATATCGAGTCCTTAATTCACGGAAACATCGACTCGACTGAAGCTCTAAATGTTTGCGATTTGTTTGAAAGTCGATTCAAGTCAGCCCTCAATACCAAACCCATAGCTCTGTCCCAACACTTCCGCGATCGTGAGATACAATTACTCGACGGTTCCGACTATAACTTCGACACCAAGAATGCGATCCATAAGACAAATGCAATTCAACTTCACTTTCAGGTCGGAGTGGAGAAGACGGTTATAAACGCAAAGATCGGACTTTTGGAGCAAATATTTGATGAACCCTTTTATGATAACCTTAGGACTAAACAACAGTTGGGTTACTCCGTGTGGACATACAGTCGCAAGAGTAATGGGGTTTGGAGTTAGTATTGATTTTTACCACTAATTTTATGCTAGTATTACATAATACTAATTATAACTTTATGAAAGGTATGAGTTTTATCATTGAATCCGATTATAAGCCTAATTATCTAAATGAGAGAATCGAGGCATTCATACAATGGGTTCACAAATACATTGAAGATATGAGTGATAAAGACTTTGAGACCGAAAGGCAGGCATTGATTACACGACGACTCGAGAAACCGAAACAATTGGTTGAATACACGAAAAAACTTTGGTGTGAAATATCGGCCAAAGATTACAACTTCAATAGGGATGAGATTGAAGTGAAAGCCATCAAAGAGTTGACAAAACAGGATATCATAGACTTCTTGAAAGTATAGACTTTTTTGTTGATTTGTTTAACTTTTAAGTTTTTAATTATATTTATTTATTTTGTGTAAAACAGAGACATATCTCCCACTCTTCAGCCAATCGTAAGAAACTGATGGTTAGTATAATCAGTGAGAATCCAATAAATGAAAAGGATTTGAAAGAAATCAAAGCGGATCTAATGCCTGTCCCTAAACTTAAGGTGAGTTTGAGGTGATTCTTGTAATTATGATATTGATTATGAAATTATTTGAATTATCTTAGGAATCGACAAGAATTGAAAACATGAAAGAATTGAAAACTAAATATAAAGACAGTTATTATCCTTTTCCCAAACCATTCATCGATGTCTCCATTAATAAGAGTTCATGACTTTATTGATTGCAATAAATAGTATTCACATCATTATAATTAAAATAATTTAAAGCACAATACAGTAGTATTTTTAAATAAACAAATTTAAGCTTGATTCAAAATTCTCGAAAATTCCAAATTAGTATGATTTCCCTCGCAGTGACAAGTGTTGCCCACTTTAATCACCGACGTGTACAGGTCTAATCCAAACGATCCAGCCACTGTACCATACTCACTTATCTCAACCGTGTTGTCGTCCACCAATGTTGCCCCTGGATATAACATATGCAACAGACTCCGGACACTATTCCGGGTCGCAATTGCGCCAGGTTTTAATTTGAAATGCAACCTAACCGTGGCGTTGTACGGTATACCAGGGACATCCACCCAATTAACGTACGAGCGCACCTTGAAACACTCGTTTTCCGGTATATTCACCGTTTTCTCGATGGATATCTTAAACTCATTGCTCATGGTCATTTCCTCGTTCGAGGTGGTCTCAGAGCTTTCGCTCCACTCCCACGTGTCAGTCGTTTTGGTGGTGATGTCGGCGCCGAAGCCGAAAAATGAAAAACCCACCTGGGCGCTTATTTCCAGCGAGGTTATAAAACTTTTGGACGTGGCCACAGTCTTTTCAAAACTTAAGGTATAACTTTCGGTTTTAGTTTTGTCCGTGGTTATTTTCTCGCTTATCGTGCCGGGGCTACAGTTGGTAATGGTGCTAGTTTGCAGTACCTCAAGTCGCTCGTCCTCTATTACACTGCTTGAATTGTCATACATTATATCGGTTATCGTAGCATGAGCCTGTACATGGTGCTTTATTTCTGAATGTAATGGTATAAATTGCCATGATAAATGAGAAATGTCCTTTTTTTTGTCCAAATTTTCAGGATTAATCCAATACACAGCTTTATTATTCTCTACTCCCCATATCCCTATATCTTTATCCGAATAAGTTTAATAAAATTTAGTTTAAATATTTATGATTAAATTTTAATTACCTGAACCTTTGGATGCATGGTAAATAAAATAGAACCCCGAATCGAGTGACCTTGATATTTTATACATTGTGATGCTATCATACCCTGAACAATGAAGAGTATACCAACCGGTTATCATATTAGGCTCAAATCTCCACCAAAATTTATCGTCCAATACATTAGGTTTGCCATCAGATGAACTGGAATTTACTAATGGGAATCGGGTTTCCTTGGGATAATTGGGATCAATGCTATCTAACGAATACAGGTAGCCTCCGGTGTTTTTATTACGAAGCGCGTAATATGTGCCTGTTGAAATAGACAACTCCACATTTCCATTTTCTACTATTGGGTGAACATTATTTTGCCCAAAACACACATTTGGGATAAATACAAGTAATATATAAATAAATCTACACATATTATTTATATAATATTGTATATGTATGAGATCTGTAAAAATATTATTTATCTGAATATGTATTTGAATTTACGCTTGGTTTATATACTTTCGTAAATAATTTATAGCAATGTTGGCATTTTGTATTTGATCTAAGACAGTATCATAAATCACTTACCTGTCTTTAATATTTAATAAGTTTTATTTATGATCAATAAATCTATTTGACTACAATATGTTGTAAATAATAAATTTTATATGCACTAATTTTAAGACAATCAAAAAAGGATTTAAAAAACGCAATTTATAATGAATTTTTAGTTTTCGGTTTTAAATTTAAAAATGAAATATTACAATTAAAATTTTTAACTTAAAATATAAAATAATTTTGAAATAAGATATAATTTTTTAGTTTTTGTATTATTATTTTTGTATTTTTGTATTATGATACAATATTTATGCGTAGTATCAGTGGAAATGACTCACTAATTTCACTAATCCTTAATTCTTTTGACAATATTCAAAGGATATGGTCCAAATTCTCCTAAGCTGGCATTTTTGATTTGTTGATTGGAAGTGAAAGCCCATTCAATGCTGAGTCCGAATATGTAATTTATATTGTCCTGTGACCTCGGGTTCGGCCGCAGTGACCACTTTTTGATCAATAAATCTATTTGACTACAATATGTTGTAAATAATAAATTTTATATGCACTAATTTTAAGACAATCAAAAAAGGATTTAAAAAACGCAATTTATAATGAATTTTTAGTTTTCGAATTTAAAAATGAAATATTACAATTAAAATTTTTAACTTAAAATATAAAATAATTTTGGAATAAGATATAATTTTTTAGTTTTTGTATTATTATTATTTTTGTATTTTTGTATTATGATACAATATTTATTCGTAGTATCAGTGGAAATGACTTTCACTAATTTCACTAATCCTTAATTCTTTTGACAATATTCAAACTTTGTAACCTGGTAAGTTATAAATGTAGAATTATATACCAAACAAGGTTTGAAATTAATGTTATAATACCCACATTTACAGTTATGCGATTATAGAATTGATTATAATGTCATAATAAATCAGAGTATATTTGTTGAATATTTTTATTTATTACATATTTATATGATAAATATTAGTATTGGTAAATTGTGTGAATTATTTCATTTATCGTTATTCTCAATTTATGCATAGCAAATTGTTTAATACATGTTATCACATTTATAATAATATTATATTATAATATATCTGCTTTGATAATATGAATAATACTTTTACAAATTAATCTTCAAATACGTGACAGCAAACGCATCTTGCTACTACTCTAATATAATGTATATATTTTCTATTAATAAGTTTTAACCCTTTAGACTTAACCTTAACCTTCTTATAGTCCCCGCTCACTACACTTATGGGGCTTACATATATTGTAAAGTATATGTCCCTGATAACATACAACTAAAAATTATCGGCCAAATCCGGTTATTTGGTGTCCATTTCTGGACGCAGAAAACGTACCAAAGCTTACAATTTCATCACAAATAATACATTTAATGAGTGAATAAAAAGTGTGAAATTTTGATTCATTTTTTGTGAATCATTTTTATCGCTAATCTCTTTTAATCTCTTTTTCATAATTTTTGTTCAAAAAATATATTCATCGATTAAATTCAAAAATTAAAAGATAAAATGAATATTTCAACATTTTCAATATATTTAAGTCCCATAAGTGTAGTGAGCGGGGACTTTAAAAATCATACAATTTAGTAGTAACTAATCTACATATAAGTGAAATTAATTATGATGTGGTGTACGTTATATTAGAGTAGTAGCAAGATGCGTTTGCTGTCACGTATTTGAAGATTAATTTTTAAAAGTATTATTCATATTATATTGCCTCATATAGTACAGTACATCAACTAATACAAATATCTGATTCAATCATACGGATAAAACCCGAGAAAAATAGGCTAAACTTTTGGGTTTGCATGCTTTTTTTGCTTACAACTAAATATTAAAATCTTTTTAAGTTATTAATAATTAGACTTTATTGTATTATAAGTATATACCGGAAAAATAGTCTTTCAGATGATAATTTGAAAACCTGCCCTAAATATAATCAAGGACATTCACTAAGAGATTTACAATAAATTTATGTTAATATAAATGTGTAATATATATTTTAATTTTATATTTTTCATATGCTTAACTAAATAGTAAGTCAATATTAATCTAAAAGTATAATTTTACTTAGATTTGTATATTAATATATTCATGTTTGCAAAAGTTTAATATGACTATGTTTAATAATAAGCTTGTTTAATTAATAAACTTTTATTTTACTACTTGATTAATTTAATATATTTCACATATTCATAATTTTATAAGTTTATTGTAAATCTCTTAGTGAATGTCCTTGATTATATTTAGGGCAGGTTTTCAAATTATCATCTGAAAGACTATTTTTCCGGTATTGCTCATGACTAAGACTAGACTCATGAGTTATTGCTTTGTTTTTATAGTCAAAGACATCACCAAATGATATGAATGTCACTCAAGAGGAATATTATCCGAAGGATTCGTTTGAGAGATTTGGTGATGATTTGTGTGGACTCGTGTTGTCTTATCTGTCACTGAAAGACAGCTTCAGATATGAATGTCTGTCCAAACAGTGGCAGAGATGTGTATTCACGCGAAGACATACCCTCTCTGTCAGTGATGTTGTGCCCAAGAAATGGGTGACCAGTTATTATGAGACCATTTCTGCTAATGAATGGAAGTCTTTAGTATCAGTGATCACAAAGTTTGCAAACCTTAGATCCATTGATATTGAGATCAACTCAATAGTGACTGAAAAAGTGTTTGAAGTACTCATGAATTCATACAAACACTCATTGATTGCAATTGACGTCAGATTTAGTTTCGGAATCGATGACAAAATAATTGACAGAATTGTGTGTAAATATGGCTCACAATTGACTGCTATATCAGTGCCGATGTTTGCTTACCGAGTGTTTAAATCACATTCAAATTCATTGACAAAACTTCAACATTTGTCCGGACATTCAATCG